ATACATATTTTATTTTCTATATTTTCACATTTTACATTAGGCATTTACTTTAATTAAATTATATGTTTAAACAATATTTAGGCTCTGAAGATGGCATTACGCCGAAACAGCGCTGTTAGCTTTATTCCAGTTTTAGATAAATATGAACTCAAACAATACCGCCTCGTTGAATGTCTTATAAAGAAGTTAATTAATGCAAAATGGGCAAACAATTTCAATGAAATTTGCATATATATATATATATATATATATATATTTAAATATATTTACCAAATTTTTTTAATGCTAACCAGTTGAGAAAGTGAAATACACATTAAACGAATGTCAACACGTGCACCAAAGAAGATGCCTGGAATTTGAGGACATGGTCTCAGAAAGCACCAACGCAACTAACATCAAACGTGGGTTGAATGAAGATCTGACTAATCTGGAGAACGAATTTAAGATGGAATTAAGAAATGCGGAAGATGATGATGATGATCATTGTGATTTTGATACCACAGACCAAAAAGTAAAATTATTTGCAGTTTTCATGCATTTGATAGTTCAATAATCATCGAAAAAATTTAAAAAACTACAGATTCAATCACATTTTTATTACATTACATTAATTGCATAAATTAATTACATTACATCAATTACATTACATTGATTACATATTACGCAACAGCTGAGCAATGTAAAGCAAAGGTTAGATTCTTACCGAAGTTACCTGGACCGTCTCAGTAGTAGGTACATACAAGATGACTGCACAAACTTCATGTACGATGCTAGGAATTTGGAAGCTAGATATATGCTGCTGATGGAGATTATGTGAGTTATTTGTTGATGTTGTTGTTGTTGTTTTTGTCATTGTTGTTGATGTTGTTGTTGTCGTCGTCGTTTGACGATCGTATGACGTTTGTTTTTGGCTGCTAATAGAAATAATGGTGTAATTTAAAAAAGTGTTTACGTGTGTTTTGTGTGTGTGTGTGTGTGTGTGCATGCTTTTGTGTACGTTGTTGTGTGTGTATCTGCGTGTATGTGTGGTTATGTGTGTGTGTGTATGTGTGATCGTGTGCGTGTGAGCAAAGCATAACATTACAAAAAATACCATCGTTCTTTGATGGCCGTGTTGTAGAAAAGTTTCTGTTTGTCCGTTATTTTTCTCAATGTGGAAATAATTTGTTTTTACATGATTGTGGATGCAAATGATTTTTTTTGTGGTATTTTCATTTTTAATTTTAATTCAGCTGCTATAACCTTTCACAGTGCGAAGTCAAAAAATGAAATTCAATTAAGGAGACAGGGGAGAGTGTCGGTGCAACAAAAAACGCATCAGCAACAACATCAACAACAACAACATCAACAACAACATCAACAACAACAACAACAACAATCAAACGTCGAAAGTCTGACAGATGTCATCAAATTTAAAAAGTAACAAAACGTATCAATATCAATATTTATTTTTTAATAATCATAACAATATTAATATTATTAACGTCATTTCGTCTCTTGCTGGCCTCATTTTTGTTTTTTTAATGATTTGATTGGTTGACTGGCAGATTGGAAGAACCAATCAGTGATGAGACATTGCCATACTCTATCCAATCACTGTCAAGTACTTCAATTTTATTCTAAACAAATGTCTTTTTTTTTTGATAATTTGTATAATTTAAAATTTTTTCGTTAATTTTTTTTGGTAGTATTTGTAGTAGTTACAGTATTAGTTGCAGCTGTGGTAGTTGTAGTAGTTGCAGCTGTAGTAGTTGCAGCTGTAGTAGTTGCAGCAGCTTTTGGTATGTGGGTGGGTGTAATGAAAATTTCATCTACCACAGGAACAATCAATCTTCCGTGGGAGAGGTCAGTCATGCCCGAAACTGGCATACCGTATTTTGTCAAGTTGGTTGCATTTTGTGTTTCCTTCATAGGAGTTGGGGTTTGTTTTGTCGGGAATCTAAAGTTGTGAGGGTTGACAAAAACTTATCAAGAGGATGTTGATGTTTGCGGTTGGCTTTTAATTACCCGACATATAAGCGAATTTTAAACGTTTATATATATTTTATTTAATTAATTTATTTGTACATTAATACAAAATGAAAACCAAAAATAATCGCTTCTTAATTGAATCGGTCCCAAAATATTCAAAATCAATTCAAACCAATGAAGTTAAAAGCCACGACAAAAGAATAATAAACACATCAAATATAGAAAGAAATATAAATACAGAAATTGGAAAACAGTTTGTTTGGTTACTTGGTCTTCTGTGAACTGGTTTCTAAAAAGTTTTTAATTGTTTTCACATTATTTAAAAAAAATCTATTAAACATAAAGAATGACAAAAACTAATACGAAATAAGGAACCGAGACCAACATTTATGCCATTGCCTTTCGTAATATTTGTTAAATTTTAACTAATTATGCATGTAGAGAGAATAACTTTATTCCATTGGATTGATTGAAATAGGTTTTTATTAAAGGAATGTTTCGATTACACGGTAGACTTCTATTAATTATTTTTGAAAATGCTAATCAATCGCATACCACATGTTTGAAGAGAATGTTAATCAATCACATACAACGTTATTTGTGGAAAATGTTAATTGAATACCACATATTTCGTTTTATTGCATTTAATTTAATCCATTTAATTGTGATTAAAATAGTTTTTTTTAGATTTACTGGTAGTTTGTGAGAAAAATTTTCGTTTGTTTTTATTGTCAAATTTTGTTTTTAGTGTAATTGCTGAAATGTTTCTCAATTTTTTTTCTTTTATAGCCACACCTTCGAACGAACGCAGTGGGACCATCCTGACATGAGTTCCCTTCTCAATGAAATGGGTTAGTAGTCTGGATTGCTAATCTTTAATTTGATTGGTTGGTTAGTTAATTAGTTGGTTGATTGGTTGGTTAATCGATTGGTCGATTGGTCGGTCGGTTCTAAAGTTAGGCGCAATAAAATTAAAATAACCATAAGTGAAAATCAATAAAACTATGTTCAACAATATTTTTAACAGTTTAAAACCGTTTTTTATACAAAACCTAAAATCCAACTCACCATTAATTAACATTAATTAACATTAATTAAACAAACCGGTGTAAAGCATTGTTGGATGTCATCCTATTCTCCGCTTACAGAACTGCCATGAAGTTGAGATTGCTGCAGAAGAAATTATGCCGTAAGTTTTGGTGTACATCTCTTTCGTTAGGATTGAATGATATTATTTATTATCAGTTTTATCGTTATCACTTTAATTCGTTTTTCAATACACTCATTCATTCATTCATTCATTCGTTCGTTCGTTCGTTCGTTCATTCATTCATTCATTTATTCATTCATTCATTCATGTATTCATTCGTTCGTTCGTTCGTTCATTCATTCATTCATTCTTTCATTCATTCGTTCATTCATTCATTCATCTATAGTTCACATGATTCCACTGGAAGTTATAGTAGAGGTCATTAGAGAGTTCAAAACCAATTTCATCAACAACAACATAAATAATAATAATAATAAGGATAATAATAATAAAGATAATGATGATAATAACAACCATAATAACAATCACAGTTATAGCAATAATAGTGAAAACAGCAACAACAACAATACAGAAATTAACATTAACGACATGGCCACCAACAACAACGATTATGTCGCATTTAGTTTCATCAACACAAACGCATTCACAACACCACAGACATTATCGACTGCAGCTACAACAGCAACCACACAGTCAGCAACTACACAGTCAAAGGCCACAAAGTCGACAATATCACCAACTCAGCCACCAACAACATCTCAACATGATCAAAAATCAACAGACTCCAACCTACCTCTTCATATTGACGAAGTTTTAAAACTTTTATGCACGATTTTTCAAAAACAACAACGACGTAACTTTGACGACAAAATGCAACAACAACAACAAAAACAACATACAAAACCACAAAAAAGAGAGAAACATAATTTGTTGCAGCAACAATCAGCAAAATCGCCGCAACATGATTTTCAAAATGTCAACATTTCTTTATGCATGGATCTCATCCTCAACAGCTTACTCAACATTTACGATATGTAATTTTGCGTAAAATATTTTTCTTTTTTTATGTTATTTAATATGGTTTTATATTTTAATCATTTATTCATTCATCTATTCACTCATTCATTCATTCATTTGCTCATAGATATAAATCATTCATTCATTCTTATCAACTGAAACATTCATTTCTTTATACTAAAAATTCATTCATTCATTCAATCAATCAGTCAATCAATCATTTATTCATTCATTCAATCAATCTATCTTCGTCCAGAAACAAGATAGGATTGGTTGATTTGAACTGCATAGAAATATTCCTTATCATATTATCATCATCATCAACTCTACAGGATAAATACGAAGGTGATAATAATGATGATGACGACGATAATGACGATGATGATGATGATGAGGAGGAGGAGAAGGAAGTTGATTGTGATGATAATGATGATGAAAATGAGTGGTTATAATTATTAGTACTAGCAAGGCAATTTATAGGATTACTTTTATAATTGCTAAAATTAAAAAAATTGAAATATCAAAATGATGATAAATGTGATAATAATGATGATAATAAAAAAATGTTTTCAAATGTTGAAAACGATGATGATGATGATGATGATGGTGATGATGATGATGATGATGATGATGATGATGATGAAATAAAGATTTACATCAGCATTACATTGATGTTGTTACTTTCTTCAAATCATCCATTCAGCCCTGTTCAACACGGTTTCAACAAAGGAAGCCACCTTTGTAATACAGCAACAACAACAACCTCAGAAAAATGTTGCAACAACATCAGCAGCATCAGCTGCAACGACAACGACCAAACGCTTTCGCAAAAACTCAATAACAAAAACATCATCCAATCAAAGTCTACCGAGTTCCGCAACATTGTCGCTGCAACAAAAAAATGTTGCAACAGCCTCTCAACTTGAAAATTTGTTGAGGATCTGTTTGCAGATACCAAAATTGTTGGGGGAATGCGATTCATTTCCTGATGAAAACTTACAAATCACTGTTGATAGCTGCTTGGAGAAGGTAGTTGTTGATGGTTCAATTGTTATTGAGATGTTGTTGTGTTTTTGTCTCTATAACTTCAATATTATAATTGTTATGCTAGTGTTTATCATTTATTTACTCATTCATTCACTAATTCACTCATTCATTCATTCATTCGTTTGTTTGTTCGTTCATTCATTCGTTCATTCGTTTGTTCGTCCATTCATTCGTTCATTCACTCAACAACTCGTTGTTATTAATGAGTAATTAAGTTATGTTGCTATTGACTAACTCCAACTATTATTGTGAGCCATCGCACTCGGGAGGATAACATACAATTCAATTTACGTGGAGTTAGACTAATTTTTTAAAATTTGACCGCTGCATTCATTCTGTTTGAATGAATTGTTACGTACCTCCATTAAAAAAAAGGCTCACTTTAACACCAACGGACTATCATCATCATCCACAAACGAAATATCCCTATCCAACTTTATGGATTGGATGAGTTTCGAACCACAGCCTTTGGTTTGGATCTGCGTACTTCACAGACTCTCTACCGCTGAGCTATCAATTCACTACGTCAGATGCAACGTCTGCAGGATCACACCCATTACTGGTCTCAGGTTGGCCGGTTGTCCTGATAATGATGTTGATGATGATGGTGATGATGATAATGATGATGGTGATGATGATGATGTGATAATGATGATGTGATAATGATGATAATGATGTGATGAGGATGATGATGATGACGACGTCGACACCATCACATCATCATTATCATTCACACGTAGGTACCGCTGTTTGAAATGTTTCAATTTTGACCTCTGCCAAACTTGTTTCTTCCACGGGTTAAAAGCCAGAGGTCACAAACTATCTCACCCCATGCAAGAGTATTGGACCAATGTGAGGAAGATATTAGTAGCAATTTGATTGGTTGATATTATGATTGAATACGTTTGATTGGTTGATCATTTAATTGAATACGTTTGATTGGTTGATTAAAAAATAATTGTAATCATTCAACCAACCAACCGACCGACCGACCGATCAACCAGTCAACCTCATCAGAGTCGATGCGTGGCTTCACGACAATTTTTCGCAACAAATTTCGCTCGAAGAGCTACTTCAAAAAGCACGCCAGACTCGGTTACTTGCCGGTACCGCTGAACCGAGACGGATACTATACGGTCGGTTACGATACTAGCAACAACAATACCAGCTGTACTAATACTCCGTACGGTACACTTGAAAGGTTGATGATGATGATGATGACGATGATGAAATGATGATGATGATGATGATAATATTGTTGGTGACAACGACAAAGATGATGGTGATAATGATAATGATGATGGTAGTAATAATGATGGAGATGGTGACGATGCGAAGATGTAATAATCATATCTGTGATTTATATATAACAGTAATTTACACTATTGTTCTGATAAACGTGGTGGTAATGATAATAGTTCGATGATAAATCTAATAATGATAATAACGATGATGATATGGAATCACGATGAACTAACTATGTGATGATTATGACGTCACTGATTAGGATAATGTGAGTAAGGATGATGATGAGGGTGATGGTGACGATGATGATGACGACGACGATGACGATGCTGATGATGATGAGGAGGAGGAGGAGGATGATGATATGAAAGTATTAATAAAATATTAATTTCATGGCAAAAAAAAATTCAATTGAACGATAGGAATAAGAAGAACAGAACGATTAATGTCATTGAAATACATGAAGTTCTAACGGCACCAGTTGCAACAACATCAACAACAACAACATCAATAACAACAACAGAAGCAACCACAACAACATCAACCACAAAACTACTCGAACCCATGACATCAACTACAACCACTGAAACGCTGTCGACCGCATCTCCAGCGGCCATGACATCAACTACAACACCAACCAGTTTTTTGCCAGTACCAACAAGAGACACCGTATCAGCAACAAACATACCAATGTCAACAACAACATCAAAAACAACAACATCAACGTCACAAACGACAAACAAATTAAACAAATTATTTTTAAAAAAGAAGAAATCAACCTCACCTGCAACGTTTACTTTAAAAACAACTCTACCAGCAACAACATCAACAACAACAATTGCAACTACAACCGCAAACAAAAAAATAATCGACAACAGTGATGATGTGGCTAACAACAACAACATAATAACATCAACTACAACAACAGCTCTTGAACAGCCAACAACAACATCAACAACAACATCAACAACAACATCAGCAGCAACAACAACAAAACCACCAACATCAATTTTGTCAAAAACTCCAGTGAACAGACTAAGAAAATCCGCCTCTTTCAATGAGATGCAGAATACTGCATCTTCATCATCATCTTCATATAACGACGATGATGACGAAGACGATAATAATGACCAGTATGATAAGAAAAAAATGACCCAGGAAAAAACTAGAAGAAAAAAGAAGTGAGTGACAAGGAAGATGGAGGTCATGATGCTGCTGTTGTTGATGCTGCTGTTGTTGATACTGTTGTTGTTGATACTGTTGTTGTTGATACTGTTGTTGTTGATACTGTTGTTGTTGATACTGTTGTTGTTGATACTGTTGTTGTTGATACTGTTGTTATTGATACTGTTGTTGTTGATACTGTTGTTGTTGATACTGTTGTTGTTGATACTGTTGTTGTTGATACTGTTGTTGTTGATGCTGTTGTTGTTGATGCTGTTGTTGTTGATACTGTTGTTGTTGATGCTGCTGTTGTTGATGCTGTTGTTGTTGATACTGTTGTTGTTGATACTGTTGTTGTTGATGCTGTTGTTGTTGATACTGTTGTTGTTGATACTGTTGTTGTTGATACTGTTGTTGTTGATGCTGTTGTTGT